CAGGTCAGTATGTTTATATAATCTATTAAGTTGTTCTGAACCATTTTGTGGTGAATAAATAAAAAATAAAAAAAATACATACAAATGACAATGTTTGTTGTCTTTTGTCATTATATAAATACACTTCCTATTTGAATTTAAATTGGCAAATGCTTAAGAGTCCATGATTGGATCATTATTGCCGTGATTATTATGTTTCTAGCATGTTATATGTTTGGCAACAGTTCTTCTAACCATAATTGATGGAGTGTGTAGCTTTTCATTTCTTAAATGTTTTTTGAGTTTAGTCATCTTTAGAGATTGCGTTTGATCTGTTCATGTCTGTTTGAAGGTTGATTTTCTTGTTGTTAATTTCTTGTATGAAGTTGGAAGACACATCATAGCCATATTCCAGGATGCACCTCTTAATGTAAATGTTTTCATCAAGAGGTGCATCAACTTTTGGTCAAAATTTGTTTTGATAATGCAAGAGTCAAGCACTTTTTAAAGTCTACTTGTGCACATCCCAAAGAATGAATCCTCAGTCTGGACTCAGAGGTGGCAATTCATGTGTGGAAATGATTCTTCATGCTCCCTCTCAACTCTTCTTTTACAATTTGAGCCTGATGAAATTTGGCTTTGTCAATATGGCCATGATGTCTTCCTTCCTACATGGTTGGTTGAGAAATGAAAAGCTACACAATCCATCAATTAGGGTTTGAAGAGCTGTTGCCAAACATATAACATGCTAGAAACATAATAATCACAGCAAAAATGATCCAATCATAAGCATTTGCATATTTGAATCTAAACAGAAACTTTTTTTCAGCCTGGCAGTGTATATTTTTATCTCCCAACCAATTGCTTGTTGTGTGACAATAAAGACAATATACTAATTTATTACAATAAATGTTTTCTTTTGCCACATTACACTCTTTTTTTTTCAGGAAGTGGACTTTGAGAATGATTGGAAGCTGGTGACACTGTTTATTGGGGGAAATGACCTTTGCCAGTACTGTCATGACCGGGTGAGATTCTAAATAAAGGCTTTCATCTCATCATCATAAATGGTTTCTTCTTATGTCATAGAACCTCAGCAGTGACCTTTAAGCTGTTAAAATACATTTGGATATTAGCTAAAAGAGATGTGCCATTGCATCATTGCCATTGCGTTGTTTTTTTAAGACCAGCAAACAATAGGGTGACCATATTTTGATTACCAAAAACCAAGACACTCTGCCCAGCAAACAGATACTCAAATGATACTCGAAGTTTACTCAAAGATGCCTTATTAATTTCAATACATTTAAAGTAGGCTATGCCTCCTCTGTATGGATAGAAAATTGTTATAAGACACAAAATCACATAGGCTTCTCAGAGGTTACTCAACATGTTTTATTATGACAGTTTGCAAAAATAAGGAATGAAATAATGATAGAAATATCGTCTCTTCTGTATTAGAAAAATAAATACATAAATAATAAATAGCCAACTAAAAGAAATACCTCCAAATTGAACAAAAATAGCTCTTACAAACTTTCAAAAACGAACTAACAAAATATATTTATTATAAACTTTAGTTTTCTTCCTCTTTATCCTGTTTTTCTTCCTCATCCTTCTTGTTTCCCCATCTATATTTAACTGTGAAGCCAGTAGCACCTCATTGCAGTACATGAGATCCAGGGGGCGGAGTTGGATCCAGATTTAAGGGGTGGAGATGGGTAGGATTAGGGGTGGGTTAGGGATCAGGGGGTGGAGATGGGTAGGTTTAGGAATATGTTCAATTCAAATTTATTTGTGAAGCGCTTTTCACAATACATTTTGTTTCAAAGCAGCTTTACAGAAAGTGCATTTCTAAAAATGTACATGGAAAAATACATTTAGTTAATCATGTAATAATTTAGGGCATATGTAAGATGGGAGAATTTAGGGAATATGTAAGGTGGAAGGAGTTGGATCCTGAACCAACTTCAACTCCTCCCCCTGGATTTCGTGTTCTGCAGTGAGGACCATCTCTGTAAAGCCGATCTTTCCTAGCAGTTTTGTGAAAACCAGGACAATTTCATCACTTTATAAAAAACAGCCAGAACGGTCTGGGCAGGACGTGAAAACATGACTGTTGGTCACCCTAGCAAACAACAATTCAATTTATTTTTCTGTGTTGTGTTTTCTCTACCCAGGCTTCTCTGTCCCCTCCTGAATACATCAGTCACATCAGAGACAGTCTGGATATGCTGTACAATGAGGTAAGAGAGATAAAGCTGATTATATTCTTTCAGTAAATCTCATGAAAACATGTCTGGCCACTGTAGTTACTAGTTTCCAACATATAATAGTTTATAGTTTCCACATAAATAAAAAGGTAATTGCGACTTTTTATCTCGCAATTTGGATCTTATGGTCTTATTGGGTCGTAATTATGAGTTTGTATCTCACAACTCTGAAAAAAAGTCAGAATATGCTAAATATATGCAATTTCTCGTCCTCAATTGCGAGTTTATATCTCGCAAAATACTTTATTTCTTGTGACAATTCTGTTTATATCTACACTCAGAATTGCGAGGGGAAAAAGTTACAATATTGAGATAAAAAGTTGCATTCTTATTAGTTAGAAAATAATTTTGCCTAACGAAAATAAGGCTTTTTGAACAGAGAGATTATTTTCATGACAATTATACACATGTACAATATGATTAACACATTTAAAATGATGTTGTGTGTGTGTGTGTGTGTGTGTGTGTGTAGGTTCCCAGAGTGCTGGTAAATTTAGTGAAAATCCTCGAGGTCAATGATCTGCGTATAGTAAAGAGGGACACACTGGGCTGCAGCCTCCTGCAAAAGTGAATCAATTAATCTATGAAATAATAAACATTCATCTGAAAACCTGTGTAAATTTCATGTTCTTATGTACACTAACAGCATTTTCGTGACTGTGTGTGTGACAGGAACTTGTGTCCATGTTTTCTGAATCCCCGTGATAACTCTCCAGAAATGAATGAAATGAAGAAGGTCAACAAAGATCTGCAGGTCTGTAGCCAATCACGTTGTCAGTTCATTTATAACTGGTCAACTGAGTGGGCTTTGGTTTATCTTGACCTTCAATAATAAAAGTGTTGTTTTCTGTGCCAGATGGAGACTGAAAGGCTGGTGAATGGGGGACGGTATGACGGAAGACAGGACTTTACGGTGGTGCTACAGCCCTTCTTCGAGAACTCTGTTGTTCCGATGATCAAGGTTAGCTTCCTTAAAACATCTCTAACAGAGCTCATGTTTCATGAGATCACATTATATCAGTATCAATGTTAACAGATAAAATGTCTCTCTGCTTTAGGATGGCACACCAGACCTGACTTTCTTCTCGGTGGACTGTTTTCATTTCACTGAGCGTGGACATGCACAGATGGCTATTTCGCTCTGGAACAACATGGTAAAAACACTTGCACACCCTTTATGATGATCTCACAGAAGCTTTCCTGCATTTAACTGCACTTCTCCTGTATTGTTGTTTTAAGCTGGAGCCTATGGGGAGTAAACAAAATTACAATAATTTCACATATGACCGCAGTAAGATTCACTGTCCCACAAAGGTGAGTAAATAACCAATGGAAGCCAATGGAGTAAATTTAACCAAAAATGGTCTTTCAAATAATGGTTTTCCTTTGTATCTTCTCCAGGAGCATCCCTTCATTTTTACAAAAATAAACAGTGGCTCTGACGTCCCTTCAACTGCCGTTCCCACCACAGTTGCCCCGGGCACCCCTCTCCCCAGAGATTGCCCCAACGATTCTGTTCCAGCCTGGGCAGCTGCTATTCTGGCTGTAGGAGGCTTGATTTTTGGTTGGGGCGTAACCTGGATGATCTTCTACTACAAAGAACGAAAGAACAGAAAGAGAAACCAGACTAACGAAATGAACAGAATAAAGTTCTAATAACTTTTTTTTTTGTTTAATTGCATATATAAAGTTAATTATTTTACTACAGACTAAACCCATATTTTTGACCTCAAATTCACATACATTCTGTTTGTTTTTGAAACAGTGTTCAGATGTCAGTAAATTAATTTATTGCTGTAAATTGTTATTCAACAAATAATTTTGATACTTGCATAAACAAAAGTACACCAGTCATTATATTTTTATTTGAAAGTAATTAAATGTTTAATTTTATTTTATTACTGTTGTTTGATTTCGTTATATGTATATTATAAAATGTTTACAGGGTTTTGTTTTTTGACCCTGAAGTGTAAAATATTTCCCTGATCATTAAAATATTTTTTGTTAAACCAAGCCTGTATCTGACTATATCAATACACTCCTGTAATTTAACTATATTTGTAGGCCTAATCCTATTATTTTTGCCACTATTGCTTGTTACTGAAAAATAAGAAGAATTACACATTCGAATATATTTTCTTTTTTGTGTGTGTGGTTTGTTAATCTTTTTGAAATCTTCTGTATTCTTAACTTTTGTTTTCGTTCCTTTTCAGTTCAAGCTCATCTGGTATATTAAATCAGTATCGTCAGCTCATCTCATCAGTCTTTCAGTTTTTACCAATAGATGGCAGCTTCGCCAGTAGAATTACGATCAGTATGACTGAAATTATATAATAATGCAAACAAAATCATTGTTAAATTTATGATCATTTTTGATACCCGGGAATGGGAAACAAACTATGGCTTGAAAACATTCAATAAACTGCATTTTTAAAAATTAATTAATTTTAAGAATTAAATTCCGTTTTAATCACGTTGATATGGCTAAAGAAACGCACTCTTGTGAGAATCAAGCTCGATAATTTGACTACAAAATATAAATAAATGCCAAGTGTAATCCTACTCTGATAAAAAAATCCACCTGAAAGGGAAACCAAACACAAATAGCAAGACGGTGAACAATAGAAAATACCCTTAACGATTAAATTGCTTTCAACAGGTCAAAAGTTTGCCTTCAAGCGATTAAATATTCATGAAAAGGTCATTAATATTGACGTAACTGCTTGTAACCAAGTGGATGACGTCATTGTGACCACCACCTAGCGGCCGTTACTGGAAGCGCTGCATGCAGAACTCGGCTCTGAAGATGGCGGAGGGGGAATTAAACGTCGACAGTCTCATTTCTCGTCTTCTTGAAGGTAAGATTTTTGAAAGCGAATGCATTTTAACGTTGACACAAACATACCCGGCAATCATGTATGTGTCGTAATCTGTTTTTCTGTTGGTGAATAGAGAATTGTACGCGTAAAGAGAGCGTAGCTTCGCCTCTCGGCGCCCTGTTTACAAACACGGCTGTGGCCCCGGGGTTTGGTTAGCCTTTTTACCAGTGCTGGGAGTTTTAGATTAGATCTAACATTGCCTATACCTAGCGAAGCAGGAACGAGACGTGAGGGCCTACAGTTTATACATCAGTTGTTCAAGGAAACCGAGTAAATGAAAGAGAGGGCAGGACGATGCAGTGTCCGTTGCGTCGTTGACTTCAGGCGAATGTAGCCGACGTAATTCTGATTTCTCCATTCGACTCAACTCCCACTATATTTAGTTGCCTATACGACGTTACTTCTCCTAACCTACTGTTAATTCATGTTATACATGTTTTTTCTAAAACCCTATTTTTAACGTTACGCTGTTTTGTAGTAATATTACACTGAATCGTTTTAATATTGGTAACTTACATTGCATGTAACGTTACTTTGTTGTAACGTTACATCGTTACGCTAACATCGCACTGATTTTTCTCTCAATAACGTTAAATTCAGTTCTTGTTTTTATATTGCATTTTCCTCAGAGGAATACAATGAATCCTCTTCATAATCAAACAATAAATATTCTCTTCATAGTATTGCACTTGTATTCTTTGAATAAGATTACACTGCATGAATTTGTATTCTGTAAAGCGTTACAGTGTAACAAGAACGTTATGAGGAGAATACAAAGTATTGTCACTATTGGGAAATGCAGTGCAACAATATTAACAGAATACAATACATGCTATGAAGAGAATATTTATTGTTTGATTATGAAGAGGATTTGAAGAGTTCAGATGCAAAAGCCTCTAAGTGCCATTTGAAATTTTCTTCTAGAATGATCATTTTTATCAAGCTTGTATATTTAAGTTCAGTGATTTCACTTAATGGCAATGATAATTACCTATTAATTGTTATTTAAGTGAAATTACTGAACTTAAATATACATCATTACAGAAGAAAATTTCAAATGGCATTTAGAGGCTTTTGCATCTGAACTCTTCATTTATTGTTTTCCTATTTGGAAAATAACTTAATCCTCTTCATAATGAAACACTATTCTTTTCATAAGGTTACACTATACTATTATGTTTCATTTTATTCCAGCTCATCTCATTTGAATGAGCAGGTGGAGCAGTACCCCACCACAATATATAAACTGAATCAATATAATAAAGCATAAATATTTTCAGCATTATGCAACAAATATTCTTTTTTATTTTTCTAGACTATTTTAAATAGTTAAAGGGTTAGTTCACCCCAAAATTTAACCGTTCATTTACTCGCCCTCATGTCATTCCAAACCCGTAAGATTTTGTTCATCTTCGGAACACAAATGAAGAAATTTTTTATGAAATCTGAATGATTTCGGTCCCTCCATTGACAGCTATGCAACTAAAATGTTTACGGTTCAAAAGTTCATAAAGAGATTATAAAATTAATTCATATGAATTGAGTGGTTTAGATACGCTTAACAGAATGAATTTAGGCTTTTATTCACATATAAACATTCATCAGATTTACAATCTATTTATAGACTTTTTGAGGCATCAAAGTGGTAGTTGTGTAGCTGACACAGAGACATAATTCACTCAGGTTTAATTAAAATATCTACATTTGTGTTCTGATGATGAACAACATGAGGGTGACTAATTGATGACAGAGTTTTCATTTTTAGGCGAACTATCCCTTAAGTTAGCAGGATATTAAAATGAGACCTTTTTACAATACCTTCGTAAATTAGTGTGTGTCATGGCTTTTGGAACCATTTATTATCCAGTATTACTATACTGGTACATTTTTATTTTTCTCTCTACTGATAGAGAGATTTGTGAATAGTAGTAGAGAGACCAATGTTTCTGTCTCAGGGAATTCGGTAGGATCTACCATGTGGTATTTCTGTCCATCTCAGTGACTTTTGTTGCTACACAAACTTCTGCTTTTCAGTTACTTTTGATCAAAGAAAGCACCACGGATTATTGCGCCACCCTGATAACCGAAATGGCTCGTGCCTGTCCATCTGTCCCAACAGCCTCCTGCTGACCCTCACTCAGCAATGCCATCTGTGTGATTCTCTGTGACCCTAACGTCCCACTTCTCGGTTTCTCACACTTCGATTTTCATCGTCTCACATTCACATCTCTGTATGTTTCTCTGATGTACCATCTGTGTCTCTCGATCACACTCCTCGATCTGTGAAGATCAAGCTGTCTGCTGACGTGCCCTCTGTGGTGTCAGAGAGGACCGTCTAATGGCTGCCCATCAGGACTTGGATAATCTTGTGAATTGCTGTAAAATGCTGTAGTGGGAAAGTGAATCAGTTTAGTTTGTCTGTGTCATTTCGTTCTTATGTATTATGTAAGATGACCCTAACGTGATGAACAAGGAGTCAGAGCGAGGAATTAGTTTCTAGAAATAATTCCTCACAAATTGTAGTCGATTGCCACTTGGAACAAGTTGTTTCTAGCCAGTTCCTAATCTAGCTCAGAGTCAGACTGTTCTGGACTGTGGCTTGTCAAACACACACACTCACATGCACACAATAAGATTTTCCTTATGTTTAGTCATGCTGCAATAACAGGGACATTTCATCAGCTCATAGACTTTTACACACTTCGATCTGTATAAATGGCACCGTGCTTGCAATCTCATAAAGTGCTCTGCACAGTAGTTGGGGTTACATTATTCTTTTCAAAGAGTCTCCAACATGTCTGGTTTGTGTGGGATATTGTGAGGGTGGATGGCCTGAAGACTAAAATGGTTAGTGCTATTATATGACCATAATCATGGCTTTAAGAAAAGAGCACAATTTGTCCTTCTCTGTGTCATATACTGTCTTTTGAGCTATTGTACTTTTTCTCCCCATACACGCTTTTCTTATCTGTCGTTCTTCCCGTCTCAGAGTGAATTATTATAGCTAGTAAGTTCTCACTTATTGTTTCTCTCCATTAAATGAAGTTCTTGGACAAACTGCTCTGCAAAATGGTTATTTAACAGTAAGACAGTCTCGACTGTCAAGGCGGGAACATTCCTGCTGAATTCCAGACACTCTCAAGATTCCCACTCACATAAACAGCAACATTCACTGAAAGCAGGACTTATGTCGGCAGGACATGACATGAAAATGTTTATTTATTATGATATATACACTACTGTTTCGTATGTTCGGTAAGATTTTCAGTGGATTACACAGTGCACTTTGGGTATTCTCTAGTCGTTGAGTGTACATCGGTTGGATTATTGTGGTCCATTGTGGGATTGAATGTGTGCACACGATCAAGTTCACTATGGTTTTGGACACCACTACAATTTGCTGTCCCTTCAAGTAGACCCCTATTTGGGTGTATAGGGGGTAGCCCAAGAATTTTTTGACTATTGACAAAGTCCACTTTGCAGCCTGTTGTGGCCCACTTTGATTGGAAGAGGCCTGTCTGACAAATATGTGAAGTTGACAAATATCTGAAATAGTTACTACCATAATCCGGTGTGAATTCTTTAAAAATTATTCAAATAACTACTTTTAAGTATTTTTCCCCAGTCATAAGACAGAGAACATTCAAAGATTTGATGTTGTGAAGCAAAAGTTGGCAAATCCAGTGGCTAGTTCTTCCTCAAAGCACTCATGCAGCACTTTATAAATATGCCTTTGTTTCTAAGCATAAATTTTATTTAGCCTACTTATTTTTATTTTTTTTTAATCAAAGACAATCAATTTGTCAGATTTAGAGTGTCTATTTATGTGTGCAATATGCTTCAGACTGTATGGTATTTGGGCCAATTTGTGATGAGTGATTTGAAAATCACACGTTTTGACCCAGGTATTGAGGCCACAGTAAAGTTGTCACACTTAAGGATAAGCAAACGATGTTAACTAATGTTGATGTCAACTGTTCCAGTGCGAGGATGCCGTCCGGGGAAGATCGTTCAGATGACGGAAGCAGAAGTTCGAGGACTCTGCATTAAATCTCGAGAGATCTTCCTCAGCCAGCCCATCCTGCTGGAGTTGGAGGCTCCACTTAAAATCTGTGGTAGGTTAGATACTCTCCTTCTCCAGAGCGGAGAACATTTCTGCTGTTTTAATTACATTCCTTCCACTCTATCTCTCAAGGTTTTTAAAGCATGTGTGTAAGTAGAGCAGGATATAAATACAAATGTAATGAGGATAGGTTTGAGGTCATTTCTCCTCTCTCTGTGGCACACCTGAGACCCGTGTGTGTGTGTGTGTCATTAACCTGAATTTGGGTGATACGATTTTTAGGCCTTTTCTTTTCTTTAAGCCTAATTTAACAAAGTCCAAAAAATATATTTGATGTCAATCACATTCATAATCTCTCTCTCTCTGTCTCTCTCTCTCTGTCTCTCTCTTTGTCTCTAGGTGACATCCATGGGCAGTACACAGATCTGTTGAGGTTGTTTGAATATGGCGGTTTTCCACCAGAGGCAAACTATCTCTTCCTGGGTGATTATGTGGACCGAGGGAAACAGTCTTTGGAAACCATCTGCCTCCTACTGGCCTATAAGATCAAATACCCTGAAAATTTCTTCCTTCTGAGAGGAAATCACGAGTGCGCCTCCATCAACCGTATCTATGGCTTCTACGATGAGTGTGAGTATCTGACCACATATGCATATCAGTCCCTCCAGAAAAACACGATTATGCGATCGCATGATTCACTGCATAATCAGCCAAAGTTCGCATATTTAGTCAGGGGCCGCAATTTTTACAATGCGACGCACTTTCGCCGCATAAATATCTGAATTTCGTGCAAAATATGCGGGGCTTGCATGATTTCATAATCCTCGCATAATCCCCCCAGAAAGTTGAAAAATTTTGCGTTTGCTTTTTTAAAATATTTTATTTATACATTTTTATTCGATGCACATGCAACGACGGGCCGCACTAACATTAAACTTTTATGTCAAGTAGGGGGCCACAAAATATTGGGCCGTGAGATTGGGACTACTGGTTTAGACCATTGTGTGGTCTGATGAACTGATTAAGTTCTTTCTATACAGCTCAGCCTGACTTTCATCCATTAGCATTTCTCAAAAAAAAAATGACCAAAGTGTTTCGATATTTTTCCTATTTAAAACTTGACTCTTCTGTAGATCGTGCACCGACGGAAAATGTAAAGTTGTGATTTCAGTTCTCCAGCCTGACTGTCTTTACTATTATGTGTTCTCCGGCCACTTGCCCTTGGGACTATGCGCGGATGACTTCAGCACACACGACGGCCTTTTACATTGGGTTCCCATAGTGTAAGCTAGCTTAAGCAACACGAGAGTACTCTCGTAAGAGAATGACACTCGGTTACTAATGTACCCTCGGTTCTCTCTAGAAGAGGGAATGAGTATTGCGTAACCCTTCCGTGCTAGTGCTGGTTTTCTGATTCGCTGAAAAGATGAAAAGTGAAGAACACCTTATCTGGACTCTGCTTATATAGGGATAAGCCACACCTATTATGGCGCCCGTGCCCTCATTGTGAGCTGCCTTGCCTAGCTCTGCTCTGTGCAACAATGCATTTTACATATAGGAAAAACTAAAGGAAAATTTTTTTTGGCTTCAGTATTCTCGAGAAAACTGATTTTATAAACGCATCAAATATTAACACACACTCACACCAGACAATCTGAAATCTTATTATTGATTTTCTCACCCACTGAACAAACTTTCAGGTCAAGCATAATGCTATAATAATGCTATTGCATAATGCTTTTGTTATGAATGTGTACATTTGTCTGTTGCAGGCAAGCGCAGGTTCAACATAAAACTCTGGAAGACGTTCACAGACTGCTTCAACTGCCTCCCAATCGCTGCCATCATAGATGAGAAGATTTTCTGTTGCCATGGAGGTGAGAATAAGTTAACAATGATGGATAGCTCTATAGAAGTGAATCTTGGTAAAAAATATTAATGTGTGCTCTGTGTGACACTTTTTCTGTCTGACATTTTGTCTCTTATCTGCCCATGTTCTAGGTCTCTCTCCTGATCTGCAGTCAATGGAGCAGATACGTCGGATTATGCGACCAACTGACGTCCCAGATACAGGTGCGTGTGTGTGTGTGTGTGTGTGTACGTGCATGAAACAAAATTACTCGTTTTAGACTGATAAATTACTAATGTCTGTGATAAATATTCTATAGAGACATATGAGAGACATATTCTCTGTCTTTTGGTCTTGCAGGGTTGCTGTGTGATTTGCTGTGGTCGGACCCAGATAAGGATGTTCAGGGATGGGGGGAGAATGATCGTGGCGTTTCATTCACTTTCGGTGCCGATGTAGTCAGCAAGTTCCTGAACCGCCACGATCTAGATCTAATCTGCAGGGCACATCAGGTACCAATTCATTCCAACCAATCGGTATCCACTATCCATGTGGTAACTTTGAATAATTGTGGTTGTGGTGGCTTATGACTTCTATATGTAGGTTGTGTTTGTAGTTAGTGCAATAAGTGTGTCGTGTTTTGCAGGTTGTTGAAGATGGTTATGAGTTCTTTGCAAAGCGTCAGCTGGTCACTCTGTTCTCAGCGCCGAACTACTGCGGGGAGTTTGACAATGCTGGTGGAATGATGAGTGTGGATGAGTCACTCATGTGCTCTTTTCAGGTGTGTCATCACCCACACACACATTTTAAAAAACACAGTTTAGCATGTTTTTTAAGTCATTTGGATCACGAGAACACAGGAAGTATCTTCGTAAACCATTGTTATGTTGTAATATCCGTGTCATTATACACATTTGTGTCCTCATAAACCATATTTACAAGAACACACACATGCATCGTGTACACACAATGCACTCACACACTCTTTTTTTCCCTCTCAGATCCTGAAGCCTTCAGAAAAGAAGGCAAAGTATCAGTACGGTGGGGTCAACTCAGGGCGACCTGTGACCCCGCCCCGTACGGCCCAAGCCCCCAAGAAGAGGTGAGCGGCTTGCCACCCAGTACAACTCCCTCCATCCCCCCACCGTCAGCAAACTACCCCTATCTGGGGTAGCTTTACTTTCCCAAATCTCCTCTAAAATCTCACTTCTCGCCCTGCCAAACCTCTTTCTCTTTTCTTAATATTTGTGTACAGACATTTTGCTGTGACCAGTCAAAATCTCTTTTCATTTGCTCTGCTTGTTTGTTTATTGGTATTTTAATAACATAAATAATAATAATAACACTGCTTTGGGAAGAAACTGCTCTACTAAGAGGAACCCAGAGCAAAACACACTCATTCTCTTACGCAAAGATCTCAGTAGTGTCCTGATATATAAGCATTTTATTAAACTTTACTTCAGTACTCTTTGATTATTAAACATTGAACATTATTGGTTGTGTATTTCGCTACACTCTGAAGTTTCAAGACCAGAGGCTTTCATACACACACTGACACTTAACTCTGTCAGGGGGCTTGATCACAGGTCAGCAGACACAATCCATTGTCGATAATTTAGGTCAGCATGGACAAAGCTGGAAAAGGGATTTTAACTCGGATATCGTGACACGGCTGCATTTACAAATGGCATTGCATGTTCTGTTTTCTTAATACCTCTGGGATTTACAGCGAAACTCTATAGACCTCTGTTTAACTTGCTGTTTTTATGTCTTACGATAGTAATAATTGAGGAGAAAAGCATCACGGCATAACACTTCTTTGCATGACCCATGTACACGTCAGTAATAACCTGCCTGAAGCAATGTGATCCACCAACCATTTTCTCATTGGATAACAAGACAGCTGACACAAATAGAGCCCCCAGGTGAAAAATATTGGATTCAATATTACAGATTAGCACTTGTTTGAAGTTCCCTAACATCATTTAGAAGGTTAAATCTGATTCTATTGGATTTGTTTAACAATTTATTACCTAAAAAAGTAGCACATGTGTGACTAAACAATGCCTTTCTGTGAGGGTTGCATTTCCTCGCATTGATATTTACCTGTCATAATTCTTTTTTTAATGTTTTTATTTCTGTGTTGCTGTTTACTTCTCCTTAATTTATTTTCAAATGTTTGGAAAGCTATCTAAGTGTTCTAAAAGCAGTTCATGAGTTTTGTATAAGTGGGCTTCGAACTTAATAAATGGAAGAAAACTCTTTTTGCTGCTGCTGTGTTTTTGTCCCTTAGCAACCAAATAAATACCAGGCTAAATAATTAAAGTCGTGCAGACCATGGTTCTGGATGCTATTCAACTGATTTTTTCCAAGTGTTTCATTAAAATAAGCAGCTCTGTAACTCGCCGATGTTGAAAAATGTGGACAAGGACAATCTGTGGTTTGTTGTCATGGCTACACTATCCCTGCAGGGTCAGGCTCTATTTTGATGCAGCCAAAAGCAGACAGTGAGCTGAAATTGTTTTCAGTTGATTGAAGTAGCGTCTGAAATTTCACAAGATTGATTTGTTTAATGACCTGAATAAATGTATTTAATCTTTCAAATCACAGTCCTACCTCTGCTGCTATTTTTGCATATAAAACTGTTCCACTTAATTAATCTGGGCACTATGTTTTAAATGTATCCAATTGGTGGTTTCCAAATGGGAGATCAGTCAGTTGACCAATCAGATTTTACAGACTAGGAAAAATACTATTTCACTGACTTTGAATTGAGGAAGTAAGCACTATGCTGGTTTGCGGTTCAGATTTGAGTGCAAGGATTAAGGAAGTAATGGTAACACTTTACAATAAGGTTCGTTAGTTAATATTAGTTAACTACATTAGTTAATATGAACTAATAATGAATAGCACATATACAGCATTTGTTAATCTTTGTTAATGTTATTTTCAACATTTACTAATAGTTGATTAAAATCTTGCTAACATTAATTAATGCACCGTGAACTAACATGAACAAACGATGAACAGCTGTATTTTCATGAACTAACATTAACAAAGATGAACAAATGCAGTAACAAATGTTTTGCTCATGGTTAGTGCATGTTAGTGAATACATTAACTAATGTTAACTAATGAACCTTATTGTAAAGTGTTACCGAAGTAATATTAAAATGAAATTCATTTTTAAACTTTGAAGGTTATAGATCTACTATTGGTCATACTACCATTGCTGCGATTAAGAATTTTACCTGTATTTCCAAAGAGATTTCTTGTAATATTGTGATTTGTGCTGTTATCACTATACACTCACCTAAAGGACTATTAGGAACACCTGTTCAATTTGTCATTAATGCAATTATTTAATCAACCAATCACATAGCAGTTGCTTCATTTAAGGGGTGTAGTCCTGGTCAAGACAGTCCTCTGAACTCTAAACTGAATGTCAGAATGGGAAAGAAAGGTGATTTAAGCAATTTTGAGTGTAGCATGGTTGTTGGTGCCAGACGGGCTGGTCTGAATATTTCACAACTACAAAAAATGTTACTGGGATTTTCATGCACAACCATTTCTAGGGTTTACAAAGAATGGTGTGAAAAGGGAAAAACATCCAGTATGCGGCAGTCCTGTGGGCGAAAATGCCTTGTTGATGCAAAGGTCTGAGGAGAATGGGCCGACTGAGTCAAGCTGATAGAAGAGAAACTTTGACTGAAATAATCACTTGTTACAACCGAGGTATGCAGCAAAGCATTTACGCCACAACACGCACAACCTTGAGGCGGACGGGCTACAACAGCAGAAGACCCCACCGGGTACCACTCATCTCCACTACAAATAGGAAAAGAGGATGTTCACTTTAGGCCCTTTAGTGCCAATTGCCACTGCCTACCTGAGCATTGTTTCTGACCATGTCCATCCATTTATGGCCACCATGATGTACCCATCCTCTGATGGCTACTTCCAGCAGGATAATGCACCATGTCACAAAGCTCGAATCATTTCAAATTGGTTTCTTGAACTTACTTGACGATTTGTTCAATGTACTAAAATGGCCCACACAGTCACCAGATCTCAACCCAATAAAGCATCTTTGGGATGTGGTGGAACGGGAGCTTTGTGGCCTGGATGTGCATCCCAGAAATGTCCATCAACTGCAAGATGCTATCCTATCAATATGGGCCAACATTTCTAAAGAATGCTTTCAGCACCTTGTTGAGTCAATGCCACGTAGAATTAAGGCAGTTCTGAAGGCAAAGCGGGATCAAACACAGTATTAGTGTGGTGTTCCTAATAATCCTTTAAGTGAGTGTAGTTGTGGTGTAGACTTGATTCATAGAATCAAAACGATTGTTAAAGCTTTATTAGTTACTGAGATAGTAGTAGACTTTCTTGTTTTGAATGTGAACACTACATTCCAATATTATAAAAACAAGGCTTTTTGGAAAGCAGTTTGAGGTTGTTTCATCATTACTCCCATATTATTCTGTGAAATTTCACCCAAAAAAACATTAAATATGTCTGCACCTTTATAGACTGTTTATGTGGAATTCAAATTCCATCTCATCAATAGAAGGTCAGCCAATTCTTCAGTGTTGGATTTAATCTAATTTAATTTATTTCATTATTAGTATTCAAGGTATAACAAGGTTATATGGAACATTTTATTCCAGGAGCAATAAAAGGTCACCTGGTCAAAGGATATGCATGTCTCACCTGACAAATTGTTTTAATTCTGTTTTAATTGTAGTGAATTTAAACACAAGCCTCATTTGTTTTCCATACCAAAAAAAGGGAAGTTTCATTCAGTGTTTCACCATTATTTTTTCACACCTAATCCCAGTGCATCCATCAGTGTTGGGCACCCTCTCCACCAATTTACCCCCTACAGGAGCTGTTATCCAGGCCCAGATTGTGTTCACTGCCCCCCTGAATGGCCCATTAAAGAGGCAGCCACACAGAAGGAAGCAGGGCAGGACCACGTGCAGTTCTGCCAGGAGCCAGACAAACAGCAGGAAGACACCGGCTGTCAGCAGCTGGAGTGCCACTCTCCCTGCACAGATCTCACTCAGCCAACATCCCAGCTGGCTGTTTTTCAGCAACTGAACCAGCCCGTTGTCCCTGACCCTGTTCTGTGAGGTGAAGGAGATTGATCAGTGACAGGCCCAGTCAACACATGCAGGAGTAGCTCCTAATGCCTAATGCATGTTTCTTTATTACCTGTTGGTCTTGAGTTGAAAGCTGACATCTGTTAGATGTCTTCATGAAGACCTTTTTGGCTCTCTTCTCCATGATCAGGTTTCCTGAGGAGAACATTTTATTCTGTGAGTAAATCGCTTTATTATGTTCTTATAATGTTAGGCACTTATATACATTAAGGCTGCTGGTATTATAAATCAGATTTTTGCTATAACGTTACCTAATGGGTAAACAAGTGAATAATTAAATCACTCTATCAAACATTTAGACACCAATAAAAATGAAGGTATATTTTAACAGAAAGACTTTATGCTCCCAGAATATTTATATTTATAAAATGTTATTTAATTGCTGAAAATTCTATAATTACAATATTTTTATGGTTCTTAGCCTATAATTATATAATAATTGTAGTGCCTTTAAATTTCGATGAAAAGCCTATTATAGACTACCGGTATGTATCATAAATAATAATAATAATAATATTAAAAAAAATTATAAAAAGAAAATGTAACATCTAACATGGTGTGTATATACTTTTCTTATCTAAGGTTGCTTAAATAACCAACATACCTGAATGAAAGATCGATTATGTTCTCTGAGGACAAAATCCGGAAAGAAACTGTTTTAACAAATTAAATAAAAACAGTGCTCTGCACTGAGTCTGACATTCTTCGATTTGTATTATAGTGTGCATGTCCTCCAGGGCAGCAGGAGGCAGCAGCGCGACTAGCGTGTCTATAGCGGATGTGGATGTGTCATTTTCCCAAACTCACATCACAACAACACACTGACACCTCAACTGGATTTCATGACCCGCTCTGGTCCAAAAAACAGTCAATACCCTCACAGACCTTACTGACAGGCTCATAAACACACTAAGAGGTGGTACGTGTTTCGGACGGTGGGTTTATGTCGTAGAATCCGCAGGTTTTGGGCCCGGTTCGTTCCGCCCGAATCATGTCCTGCTGCCTGCTGGAGTTCGGCCGGGTCCAGGAGCTCAGACAGGTGCGAGAGTTTCTGTTCCCCAAGCACAAGAAAGCCGGTCCGGAGGAAGAGAAAACACAAACAGGTACTGCTGAAGTCAGTCTGAATATGTATGTAAGGTCCAGTATAATCATGATGGTTCTCCTGCACTGCGGTTGTTCTGTGATTTATGTGTGTCAGTGAGGGTGTTGATGGTTGGTAGAGTTGAAAAGTGTATGTCCGAAAGCTAAATGCTGAACGAAACGGTCACAAACAACAACAACAACAGTATAATTAACCTACTAAATATATAAATGCAAAAAAAAAAAAAAAACTCTGTGAGAGGTAGATTTGGAGTTAGGGCATATAAAATAAACTGATTTTATAGTAATCTAATGCTTTGTCAATGGAAAGTATGTGGGTGAATTTAGATAAAATAAAATGTGTAAAAAGTGATTTTTCAGACTGGTGCAGAATAACTTATTCACTCCCTGCAGAGAGGAAGGGAGGTGTGTTTGCCCTTGGTGAGTGAGTCATCCTGCAGAAAGATTCTGAGGCACATGACTGCGTTTGAGACAGTGAATGAATGAGAGTCCAATGAAGAGAAAGACAGGAAAAGAAAAGGGATGGGACCTTTATAGTGACGTGAGGGAAAAATGAATAGGCATGGTATTAAAGATAGAGAGAAAAAGAAGAAGAATGTGAATAAGCTCTAACAGAGGTTAAAGGAGCGGATTGAGCCGACTGTAATAGTGAATAGATTAATCCTTGCTGGTGACATTTACAGAACATCATATTTCTCTCTCTCTCTCTGTAGAGAATGAGTTAACATGGGATGACTCGGACTGGGGCTCCTGGGAGAATCCTGACGGTAAAGAGGATGGAGCTCAGGTTTGTATTAAGGTTTGTATTAAAGGATTGGAAGACTCAAAACTGAAAATTATGTTATAATTTACACAAATTGCAAATGAGAAACGACCGCATACCAAAATGCATCAGAAATTGCATTTAAAAACTCTTAATTAGCTACATTTCGCTCTCACAACCTTCATCAGGCATGCACAAATTTTCAAACTCATCCCATTTAAACGAACAGTATGTAATTTTTGGCCACCAGGGATCACTAATATCTTACAATAACAAAGGCGTATATCGATGACGCAAAGCATCAAGCGGAATTATGGATCTTGTCGTCAAGCTTATGATGTCAAACTTTCATGTTCACTAATTTATGTTCACTAAAAACTTTGCTAATAAAGAGTTTTTAAATGCAAGTTCTGATAGTGTGCGGGAGTTTCTCGTTTGCAGATTGTCGACCGATCTTTTTTGGTCTTTTTTCCAATGCACCTATTATCTGCAGGTGTGTTATTTTTTTTATTTTATTTTATATATGAATCACTCAAATGAAATGTCATTCCAAACCTGTGTGTTCCCTTAGGCTGAGGAGGAGGAGCAGCAGCAGCAAAGCGCCCCCTGGCTGCAGGACTGTGTTCTGTCTCTCTCGCCCTGCTCAGATCTACTGGTCATTGCTCAAGAGCATAAAGCCACATTTCTCTCTGGTACATGCATACAGTACTGATCAATCTCTTCTTTATTGCTTATTGGTTACGAATTGGTATAACATATAGACTGATTGATTCATTAATTGGTTGATTGGCAGCAAAGTGGCGGACAGCTGAAAGTGGACAGGAGGAAATGGCCCTAACTGTGACCTGGAGTGGAACGCTGAGCATTGATGAGGGGTGAGAGATGAAATAGGAGAGGGCAGGGTCAGGTTTGGATGGTTTTATGGGAAATAACATAAAGGGATTTAATCCCACAAAGAAGAAAGGACGAGGACAAGACAAATACAGAATTGGGCAATATTATAAGTAGAGGGGTTTCTTAACATTTAATAAAATATGTTTATAATAAGAGGGATTGTAATAAATAGAAAGCTCAGAGGCAGAAGAACAAAATAAAATAAAGATAATGTTTTTATTTTTTTCATTGTTTCTCAATTTTCTGTCTGCTCTTTTCACAGAGAGTGTATTAGTAGTGTTATCTGTATTCCGTTGGCCAGTCAGAAGAGGTAAGAACATCACGGTCACACACACACACACACACTCCTGTATAAACAGATCTACTCTTTCACATACATTACTGTTCAAATGTTTAGGGTCAATAAGATTTTTAAATAGAAAAAATATATTACTTTCTAGCAAGCACACATTAATCAGATCAAAGACAGACTTTTCAAATAAATTGAATCTATTACTTTCTATTCATCAAAGGATTCTGAAAATGTCCACAAAAATATTAAGCAGCACAACTGCTTTTAACATTGATGATAATAATAATAAATGTTTCTTGAGAAGAAGAGGGAAAAAAGAATGGCTGCTTGAAATTCAGCGTTGCAATTACATTAATAAATTATATTTTAAAATCTATTAAAGTGGAAAACAGTTGTTTTAAATTGTAATAATATTTCCAAGCATTACAATTTTTACTGTATATTTGATAAAATAAATGCATACATGGTTAGAATTAGAGACTTTTTTTCAAAAATATCTCCAAACTTTTGAATGGTAATGTATGTGCTGCTCATTATCTGTTTAGAAGTTCTACCGGCCGACCCGACTGGACCTGTATTGTGGTTGGATTCAGCTCAGGTTATGTCCGTTTCTACACAGAGGTACTGCAATGTTTTCTGATCTATAAACTCACCAGCTGAATTGGACTAATGCATTAGTAATAAACAGTAATATATGAAAAATCATGAATCATGAAAAATCAATATTTCATTTTACCAGTAATTAAAGCCAGACCAGTATCAAAGCAGACAATCCACTGGTCTTATCCATCATTTGTGTGTGTGTGTGTGTGTGTGTAGAGTGGTGTTCTTCTGTTGGCCCAATTGTTGCATGAAGATCCTGTGCAGCGACTTAAATGTCGCACCTATGAGATTCCACGTCACCCTGGAGTAACGGAACAGGTACTGATAACTCTTACATTGACTGATTTGTTCAAAGTAATTCTTAGGTTACACATGACACCTTAACTTAAACAGCAGACCAAACTAGGCTGATGATGTTGAAATGTCTATCTCTCTATCAGCATGAGGAGCTCAGTATTTTGTACCCAGCAGCCCTGGTCACCATTGATGGCTTTAGTCTCTTCCAGTCTTTACGTGCCTGTCGAAACCAGGTTGCCAGAGGTAAGAGAGAGTGCTGGTGTATGAATGTGTATCAGGCTTTCACCAGATAATACTGTGGCCTGGAATGCCTTACATATTTTGCCTTTCATGTTATTTGTTTTCATCTCTTTTATTCCCTGTATCTATCCCTTTGCCTTTTAGCGGCAGCAGCAGGAAGTGATGTCATCCAGCCTCCACCACTGGCCTATAAGAAATGGGGCCTACAAGATATGGACACAATTACAGACCATTCTAGCATTGGTAAGAGAGATTTCTTTTTTCATTTTCTTTTTTATGTTTTTGAACAGAAAGCCATTGCACAGTAGAAAAACTGGTAATATACACTATCGTTCAAAACTTTGGGGTCGCTAGTATATGGAAGTAAAATAATGGCAAATGTTTTCGAAATTTAAAAGCTTGTTGAATTGCACTACTTATGTATACATATACAAAAATATGCATTGCACTAACCATGCTTGCATTTTAATGCATTGTATTTTTAGGGCTGAAAACATGGTTGTATACTTAAACTGTAAATATTTAAATTCTAAAAATCTCGCACACATTTTCATTATTAAAACTTCAATAATCCATTTTCACCTTTCAGATTTCATTTCCAAAATATTAATTCTGGTTAAAAATACCCAACCTATAATATTCATTTTATTTCACCTTACAAATTCGCTTCCAGAAATTCAGTGGTTCAAATTCAACAGAATATTCAACCTTTCACATCCGGGAACTGCAGGAATAGCAGTAGAGTACTGATTGATAATCTCCATCCATCTGCTGTTAGTCGACCTCACCCACAGGTGGTGCCTGCGGCTGTTGACGAAGACTAAAGCAACCTTTTCAAACAGTCATTAATTTAATTCACTAAAACAGATTTACAGAAATGGACAAGCAGTAAGAGTATGTGTGATGATTATCAGGGCCAGTAACGTTATACATGCAAAAGCGCTTTATATAGCTTAAAGGACATGTTCGGTATTTTACAATTAAAGCCCTGTTTTAAGATCGTTTCTGATGAAATAGAATGGTTAAGATTGTTTTTTTTAGACAGATGCTGCTGTCCTGAGAATTTTCAGTTTCTGTGGTTGCACCCCCCCACCTTCACAATGGTTGCATAGGTGCACAGGAACAATCCTTCATAAAACGCATAAAACTTTCGTTTACAAAGACGTGAAACTCACCGAGTGGTCTTGGGTGTTCTCTCATGCTCTCATGTCTCTCATACTCAAGACTGCTTTTAAAAATAAAAAACAGTAGAAGCAGTATTGTTGTGAAATATTTTTATCATTTTAAAAGTTGTCACATTTAAAATGTGTTTATTATTTGAATATATTTTAAAATGCTGAATCCTCAGCACCTTTACTCCAGTTTTCAGTGTCACATGACTCTTTAGAAATCTTTCTAATATACTGATTTGGTGCTCAAGAAACATTTATTCTTGTTAGTAATGTTGAAAAAAGTGGAAATGTTTTCTTTTTTTTGTGGAAATGTGATGCATTGTTTAGGATTATTTGACTAATAGAAAGCTCAGAAAGAAACTATGTATTTGAAATATGAACTCTTTTGTAATATTATAAATCTCTTTACTGTCCCTTTTGAATTAAATGCATCCTCACTAAATAAAACTATTAATGTCTTTCAAAAAAAAAAAAAAATATTGCTGGCCCCAAACTTTTGATTGGTAGAGTAAAGTAAAGTCTGCCTCTTTCAGGTATTACTACTCTGAGTGTGTTCGATCAGATGAAAAATGCCTCTATTCTGGGAGGATACCATGCTTCGGTGAAAGGAAGCCCTCCTGCAATGAGTCAGTATATCACAGTGGGAGGAGGACCCTACACTGGGTTCTACTATGCTATAGAGGTACACACACACACACACATCTTTTCCTTGGTCTATTGTTGGTGCTTGTTGCTTATTTGTAGTTCTTGATAATTACGGTCAGTTTTTCTTTCTTATATCTCAGGGAAGTTCTCAGCCTCTTCTCTCCCATGTGGCTCTAGCTGTGGCCAGCAAACTCACATCAGCTCTGTTCAATGCTGCCAGGTCTGTGTCTGGGTTATTTTAACTCTTGGCTCTCATTAACACTGACCTTTCATGTTTAAGCTCACTCCATGTTTACGCATTCTTCGTCTCTCTCTCTCTCTCTCTCTCTCTCTCTCTCTCTCTCTCTCTCTCTTCTCTCTCTCTCTCTCTCTCTCTCTCTCTCTCTCTCTCTCCTCTCTCTCTCTTCTCTCTCTCTTCTTCCTCCATAGTGGTTGGTTGGGATGGAAGAGTAAAAATGAAGAGGAGTCGGTGCAGAAACAGAAGCCAAAGGTGGAGCCGGCCACAGCCCTTCCTGTTAGGTAAATCTGAATGCAATAACACTACCTTCCAATGTTGCTTTTTTTCTTTTCATCATATACACACCAGTGTTGGGTGTAATACATCACTAATTAATTATTGTAATTAATTCACCTTTCCCTTGGTAAATAAAGGGATTAGGGGGAAGTAAAGTAAAGAATTACTCTTCATTTTTCTTTAATTAAATTACAGTTACTTGTGATGTAATGGACTGTATAGACCAATAGATCTATTCTATATAAAACAATATAGGATTTAACATGTAATTTTGTGCATGTGAAGATTTGAAAATCTTGCTTTCCCCCATTACAGTTGAATCACGGAGGCTACACTAGTTACTTTTGCCAAGAGATTTATTATTTATTATGTATCATGTGTCAGACAGAGAGAAACAGGCCTATAACAATAAGGGTACAGACGAGGAGGTCTTCATTCCAGATTTCTCTATCCTCCAGCTGTAAATGGTTTCTTGGTGTTGGTTTCATTATGAAATTATTATAAAAATGAATAATTAATTTATAAAAAAAATAATAACATTTTCCCTACAAATAGTCTGGTCAGAATGCAATTTTATATTATTTATTTAAAAAAAATAAAAGTAAATAAAACTTAAGAAAGAAAAATAAAAATAAAATTTTTCTGCTTTCATCAGGTTTGGTCTTCCAGATTCTCGTCGACATGGCGAGTCAATCTGTCTCTCTCCATGTAACACTATGGCTGGAGTCACAGATGATTTTGGCAGAGTCACGCTGCTGGATGTGGCACGAGGCATCGCTATCAGGATGTGGAAGGGTGAGCAGTGTAGCGCAACTAATGTAGTCGGATTTGCGAACAAGCATCTAATGACCCTGTTCGTATTAAATTTCAGAAGTATCTTGTGACAAACAAGATTTGAATCAGTGTGACAAATGCTTTAGTGAACAAACACACTAAAAACATCAGAGCAAATCAGTATCATTAGGGACTGCTTGTCCTTGTGACAATGTGTAGTTAAGTTATTTTTTTGTAATAAATTACTTTTTAGTTTTAAAAACTAAAAGCATGCAACTGTAAATTTAATCTTAAAACATTTTTAGGATATATTTTATTGTACAAAATATAATTAATTTGTTTTAAATATAATTAAGTAAATACTATAATTATACAAATAATTTAAACTATATAAAATAATTTTATTTTAATAATTATAATATTAGTATTTATAAAATGTTATATGCAATGATATATAATTATGTAATACAGTACACTACTGTTCAACTGTTTGTGAGGTAAATATTTTTTAAAAAATATTTAAAATTTAGATTTCTGTTTCAAGTCAATGCTTTGAACTTGCTATTCATCAAAGAATCCAAAATGTATCACAGTTTCATTTTATGCAGCACAATTTCCTAATAAGAAATATTTCTTGAGCACCAAATGATTTCTGAAAGATCATGTGAAAATTAAACATTTGTTTTAAATTGTAATATTTATTTTAAATAGTAGTGTACATAAACTTTTTTATTGTGTGTAGGCTATCGTGATGCTCAGCTCGGGTGGGTGCAGGTGTCAGAGGCTCCTGGGGAGAGAGAAATAGCCACATCTCCCTCTATGCCCCGCCGGCACGCCCAGTTTCTGGTGATTTATGCCCCACGTAGGGGCATTTTAGAGGTGTGGGGAACTCAGCATGGACCTCGAGTGGGGGCTTTTACTGTAGGCAAACATTGCAGGTACACACTTTAACTAAAGAAAAACTAAAATACATTGCTACAATTCAAACATGCATGTTAATTAATTCATTTCTCTCTCTTAAGGCTGTTGTATTCAGGTCACAGGTTAATGGGTGTGAATAGTGTAACCAGTCAGGGTTGGCAGATACACACACAGCAGGTGTGTCTGTTTGATCCGGTAAATGGAGCCCTGAGAGCCATCACCATACCATTCCACCTGGCACTCAGGTACACACTCATACATAAAAAAATGAACTTTAATATAAAAAAAGATATAATGCAGGTGAGAACAGATGTATCTATTCTGTTTGTTGGTCAGTGATAAGAAGAGTGAGCGTGCTAAAGACATGCACCTCCTAAGGAGACTCACCACTCTACTGAGGACCAGGGAGGTGGAACCAGGTCAGACATACCTCATAGTTCACTCAAATATGTAAATTCTGTCATCATTTACTCATTCTCAATTTATTCCAAACCTGTATGAATTTATATCTTCTCCTGAACTCTAAAGAAGATATTTTAAAGAATATGGGTAACCAAACAGTTGATGGGCCCCAATAACTTCCATAGTATGGAGAAAAAAATAATATGGAAGTAAATAGGGGCCTATCAACTGCTTGATTACTGACATTCTTCAAAATACCTTCTTTTGTGATCTGAAGAAGAAAAAAAATTCGTAAAGGTTTAGAACAACTTGAGGGTGAATAAATGATGACAGAATAATAATTTTGGAATGAATTATCCCTTTAATATTCCCGAGAGACCATGCATATACATCAGAATATCTTCAGTTGTCTTGAGTTGTCTTGTTTGTTTTTTTGTTGTTGTTGTTTTTAAGAACTACTAATACCCAATTTTGTGTTTAAGTTCTATTGTTCTGATGTGTCCACATGTTTGAGTTTTCCTTTTGATCTTTGATTGATAGCTCTGCTTGAGAGTGAAGCACAAAGTGTGTTATTGGACATTAAACATCCAGCTATTAAGAAACAGGTTAGTAAAACCCAACCCGCAACATATTCATCCATCTATGTTAATAAATATTTAAATAATAACATTTCTGATTGATTAACAGGCCCTGGAGTCACTGCTGTCCAATAAGAATGCACCAGTGTCCTGTTTGACCCATGTTACTCGTGCATTATTGGCTAGCCTGAAAGAACAAGGTAACTCCTTCCATCCTCACAGGGCACTGTGTATTTTTCATATTTAAACACTGATCTGGTTTTCCTGCGTCTTTGTATTAGATCCTGAAGCCGTGGATGAGTCGTTGCTGCAGTTTTGTTCATCACAGCTCAAACTTCTCCAGCTCTATGCAGATGTTCAGTTACTGCACACACCAGATACGTCACCCACTGAGCCAGAACATGTGAGTAACACATTCACAAAGACGCTATCCAGTTAAGCAAACTAATATACCGTAATATCACACTTAGATTGGAAGTTAAGGTTTCTGTTCTCTGTACAGCCGTCTTTTTCTGGCATTGAGGAGGATCTTGCTCGTGTTGGCCCAATCCTGCAACGATACACAGAGATGAACTCTAGGCCCTCTGTCTCATTTGCTCAAGACTCTAGTGGGCCGCTGCCAGTCCGAACATTTCTGTCTCAGTTGGAATGGGTAAACGGAGAGCTCAGAGTGATTAAACAACCTGATTCCGACTGGACCCAACTAGGTAAAACCGCTCCCTGCTAGCATTATTTTAATATTTAAAGGACCCCTTGTGGTGAAAATAAAATTTTTAGTATTGTTTATGTATATGTGGTGTTTTTAATATGCTTTTACACAAACATGTAACGAATCCTGTCAACGTGCAGGTGGGGCTTTACTCCAATGACTTTCTATGATGTTCAGATCATCTAACTTTTTAGATGGCGAACAGGAACATGTTTGTGTAGCATTAAAGGGATACTCCACTTTTTTGGAAATAGGCTCATTTTACCACTCCCCCAGGGTTAAACAGTTGAGTTTTACTGTTTTCAAATCCATTCAGCCGATTTTCTGATATTTAGAAGAATATCAGTAACCAGACAGTTTCTGATCTCATTGACTTCCATAGTAGGAAAAAAAATATACTAGTCAATGAGACCAGCAAATGTCTGGTTACTGATATTCTTCTAAATATCAAAAAAAAATCGGCTGAATACATTTGAAAATGGTAAAACCCAACTGTTTAACTCTGGGGGGAGTGGTAAAATGAGCCTATTTCCAAAAAAAGTGGAGTATCCCTTTAATGGGTTATATGCACGCTTAAGTTCCGCATTTGACGTAAGGATGCTCGTCCATTTCCGGTTGTGTAGATTAAAGCGGAGGAAAACCGGAGAAAACGGGATTATGGCAGAGTCTTCTTTTATGTTTATTTAATATAATTTTAAAAAGAAGCATAAACACAACGAGGGGTGTCTGTTTTATCTGTTTTTGTGACTAACGTTTCATTAGTATAACATTGGAGTATAAAATTCAATATAAATTCTCGGTATTGCATTGGACTGTATGATCGGCGGAAGTTATCGAGCATCCTTAATCCTTCACCGGAAATAACGCCGTGCATAGAGCCCGTAGCACATTATTAGCTGTTTGATAATGTAGTCAAGCCTAAAGCTAATCATATAATTTACGGTCATGTGTCTGACATTGTTGAGAGCAATACATAAAAGCCTTTGACCATTCTGATATATCCACTTGTTGATGACTCTGTGTAATTCACTGTTCAACTACTTCTTATAACATATATGGCTGAATTAAACCAATGTTTCCACTTGCTATTTTGTAGTGTTTACTACAGTAAAGTTGACCAAGTGGAATAGGTACTCCGAACTGGTGTGATTGAGTGGAGGCAGGGACTAATTTGCATATTCTCTTAATTTATTTTTAAAACACAATAATAACCAAATGTTATCTTTTGCAAATCTCAAAATGAATATCCATTTTTGTACTGGCTAAATTTACTTGTTACATTTTAAATGATTTTTAGTGTTTATTTTGAATGTATTTAGACAAAATGGTATATAATATTAAAAATGGCCATTTAAAGGTTATTAGCCGTAAAATGAAAATAATTATAAGCGGTTAATTGATATGTAAATCAGTGATTCTTGGGAATTTGGATAAAACAGGTTTTAATTTTGAAAATAAAAAGTTAGTTAAATTACAAAATCTGAAGGTATATCATTATAAAGCAAGGTCTTGGCTGTTCAGCAATGCACCGGTGCAACCTCCTCATTTTGTATTTTTTTCATAAAATAGGCGTTTCTCCAGTTATCACTTTGTTTTTGTCAACACCGTCAGACAAAATAAATAGCAAATTATTTTTTATTTGTTTGGTCTAATATGTATTTAGAGTTTTTAAATCATTATCTGGCATTCTTGGTACACATATATGCTGTTAAATGTTGTATATTCACTTTTGTTCATTTTTTATACTGTTTTGCGTGTACTCCTTTAAAAGATATAACATCATACAACATTTACTTTAAGCCTAAATAGAAAAATTAATGTTGTTTTATTTAACAAACATATTTTTGTATTAAAAGAGACTATTACTTTAATAACTCAACAGCACTGAAGAATCATATTTCAAGTATATGCATTTAAAACCAATAAAACTCCCTCTGACGGTGGTGACTTTAGAACTGACGGTGGTGACATTAATCTGACGGTGGTGACTGTGGCCTCTTTACAACATACAATTCCACAATGTATACCACTCAAGTCAATCAATTCTTGCTTAACATCTTCATTTAACTCTTTGGTCCAAAAAATAACAATCTTGAGCACTGTGATAAACATTTTTTTCCTTTTATGAGGTATTCCTCATTTAACTCTGCCTCACTGTGTATTTTCTCTCTCAGCTTTTTTTGGTATTCCCTGTTTCTTCTCCTTCTCTCCTCTACAGATAGCTGCTGCCTAGCCATAACTTTCTAAAATACATAAAGTCAAAGTTGAGTGTAATGACTATGAAATTGGGGTAATTACAGCGAATGTTAGATTTGTTTAAATGATGTCATGCCATTTTCATTTGGCTTTAGTCATTGGAGATGCATAGCCTGGAATGGGATAGTGCATACTATGTGCTGTGTAGGTAGGCAGTAGCTGCACTATGTGCATCCCAAATGACATAAGCCAAATGAACATAGCATAATAGTAAATTGAGAGAGAGGGAAGGCACACCTTATCCCCTATTGGACGATAGGCTGATGGTATAATTCATAAATATGTACACTGAACAAAATTATAAATGCAACACTTGTTTTTGCCCCCATTTTTCATGAGTTGAACTCAAAGATGTACTTTTCCATGTACACAAAAAGCCCATTTCTCTCAAAAAATTGTTCAAAAAATCTGTCTAAATATCAAGCGTAGTGTTAGTTCTGGCAGGTCACGTTAGTCAAGCTCGCATCAGCCGACTGTTAGCTGATCCAACCCCCCTATAGGAATATGATGCCTATCACTGTACAGATATATAAGCTCCTTCAGTATTATCAGCAGCTATCACGTTAATCAGGAGCTCATTTCCCTCCTCCCTCCCCAGCTCCACTCGTCAGTCAGGACTTGACATTCTGATTCCCCAAGAATCTGAATAAATTCTCGAATTATATTGTACTTTAAATTTTGAAATAATCTGCAAAACATTCATGTTGGTTCTGTTCTGTTTACCCCAAGGGGGTTATTGCTGCTCCTATCCATGCTAGGCTTTAACAAATTTTTAGTGTGGGCAAAAATCTAAATGAACGTCATGAAACACAATTTAATCGCATCAAACGTGTTCAGATTAGAACTGCTGTATTCCTGCAGCTGAACTACAGCCGTGAGGATATCAGGAAACATCCTCACTCTCACTAATAGTAGCATGCAGTGTAAGCCTGAATGGAAGAAATATAGGGGGAATTAAATAAATAAAAATATTAAAGAGGTGAATGGAACATTACAGGATAATATATTGGTATTTATTGTGATCAACAATTATATTCTAGCCTCTGTTATAGACCATTTGGGGGGTTTTGTCACCACCGTCACACGGTATGTCACCACCGTCAGATAGAAAACCTGACGGTGGTGATGTCTGACGGTGGTGACAAAACCTACTCTTTCACATGATATTGCATGAGTTGTTCACATTATAGCCATCTTGTTTCCCCTCTGTTGCTAGCTACTTCAGACCT